ATTGCATCTCTCACATACAAAGAAACACACAACCATGGTACAGGTCACGGGCTCAAGTCCCGGAGAGCTCAAAACCAGCCAAAACAGATCGAAGTCCTCCCTCCCTCCCTACCTACCTACTGCCCTCTTTTCTTTGTTGCTCAATCACCTGCAGAGAGTTCATATAAAATGGGTTTGGACATGGATGCTTGACACTGACTATACTCCAATGTTACCTGACGTTTGCTGTATATGCATGTATTCCTGGAGAGTGTAATAACCCGGTTGAAATATGCCATTGTCATCGGCCAGGGGCTGCCCACAGGCCACAGGAAGGCCCTGCGCCAGACCGTATCCAAATAAGGCCCCGAAATGAGGCCTCAGAGGCCCTGCGCCCGACAGTTGACCACAGAAGGTCGATAGTCAACTGTAGCTCGGAAATTGAGGCTCACGAGTCAAGTCTGCACGGACCCAGTCCAGGCCACCGATCAGACACACACATTTGGCTGTACGCAGGTATCCAGGCAGAATCTGGTCCAAGTGGAAGCCTGCAACTGTATGTGATCCAGGCCATTGACTACAGGTCAATCTGAGTGCAATCAGACTCGTCTCATTCACACTTTTCATGCATGTAAACAGCACCGCAGCAAACTGGCGACGTGCACCCGCACAGAACTCAGAGATATGGTATCCAGATAAGAGTTCACTTCCACTCAGCACCCAACAACTCATTGTTCACACACACCGGATCACCCTGGATATCCCATACGCGACACGCTGAACACTCACACAACACACACATCCTTCACTCTAAGCTACAGCTATGGCAGCGATGGCTGCCTCTACCCTGTCGCTATGGCTGCACTTCGTCTCTCTTGCCCACTTCGACTTCGGGCTGCTGCAGACCTCCTCGCACAAGCCGCTGAGACAGCGCTTCCGCATGGCTTCCGCAGGAATGAATGAATGGCTGTGCGCGGCCTCTTGATTTATACTTCTGTGACTCATCGGTCTGCCCTGTTTCCCTGGCCCACGGTGCTCASAGTCCCAGGYGGTACTTGCTTGACTGGACCKGACTGACTGGACTGGGACTGCTGACTCTGCACGGTGGACTTCCACCACTTGCCCACTTGCCTCTGCCTAAACGTGAGCAACCTCGAAAGGCCACCACCGGGCCCTTCTAGAAGGCCGTGGGCTTGGCCTTTCGGTCTTGTCGCAGCTACGACCTTGACTCTTCAGGACTGGACTAGCTACGACCTTGACCTTTCAGGAAAGCTGTGGCTACGACCTCTAAGCCTGGCTAAGACTCCTAACCGACAGGTCTATACATCAAACCCATGCTACCTACGGTCCCTACGAGGACCTATCAGCTATTACAAATACACAGGTCGCGGGTTCAACTCTACGGTTCGACACAGGTATTGTACACAGGTAAGGTGGGGTCTAGGGATCGATCCCTGGGATCTGCGACGGCTACTGCGAGCTGGTGAATACCGTTTCACTCCCGCCGGCCTAAATTCGAGGTCCTCCGAGAATATTTCAGTCCAAGGCAGGACCTTTACCCTTTCTGTCTCTTTCGTAGGCCCTGACTACGTTGGGAGCTGTTTCTAGAAGTTCGGTCCTTGTGAACCAGCGGTCGTCCTCTGGTTCCTGGTATGCAAACCTGACTTTATATTGTTTCTAAGGACGGCCTCTACCTCCTGTTCTGAACACGTCTTCACCTATAATGCCGTCAATGTCGTACCTCCCATCCATGTCAAGAGGGATCATGGACCGTCTAGATGGGAACTGGTCACTTACGGTGCATGGCAACAACTTTGAGGCATGGAAAATTGGGTAGGTGTGGAGGTGTGCCGGGATCTCTATTGAATAGGACGGACCATCCTCTCCACCCTTGACTTCTAAAACTGGCCACGGTCCTCTATACGCGGGCAGTAACTTTTGCGAGATGTTCTCCTCAGGAGCAAACTCTTTAGCCTTGACCCAGACTAAGTCGCCTACTTGGAATTGTGAGGGGCGACGATGTTTATTGGCTTGCTCTATCATCCTATGCTGGGCCTTCCTGAGGTTCTCTACAACAGTAGCTAGTTCCTTCTCATGCTGTATAGCGAACTCCCAAGTACCGGGCGGTAGCCTGTGAATCTGATCCCGGTTAAGTCCTTCAAACGGTCTGCGCGGTCTAAAGGACTTGTGCAACTCGTTGGGAGTGCGGCACGTAGACAAATGCACACTATTGTTGTAAGCACTGGCTACCTTGGGGAGCATCTCATCCCAGTCAACTTGGTCTGGCCTAATATACATTCTTAGAACTTGTTGCAGGATCTTATTCATTTGTTCGGTCTGACCGTTGGTCTCGGGGTGACGGCCAGACGACATCAGCAACTTAGAGTCATAGACTCTCATCAACTCCTGCCAGTTCTGACTCGTGAACCGGGTATCTCTATCACTAACTATGGACAATGGGACCCCGTGCTCACGGACGCAATGATAAAAAAACTTGCGGATCACTAACTCGGTCCGTGCCTCTGAAGGCAAAGGTATAAAAACAGCATACTTGCTAAATCTATCGATTATTACCATAACTTGGCTCTTGCCATGCCTACTCTTGACGCCAGCGTCCATGAAGTCGATGGACGCCGAATCTCTTGGCTGATCGGGAATAGGCAAGGGTCTGAGAAGACCTAGCGGGGCACGCGTAGTAGTCTTATTCCTCTGGCAAACTTTGCAACTGCGAACATACTCTATGAAGTCATTTTTCATCCCTGCATCAGGTTGGCTAGAGTCTTTTGCCAGCCAAAGTGTCCTTCTGTGTCGTGGCATTCCCCTCAGATCAAACTACGGATCTCCTCACTATTGGGAATGCACAAACGGTCAACTACGTTAGTCTTCTCAAATAACAGTCCGTCGGTAGTGCGGTAATCGGGCTCGGTCTCTGGGGCCTCCTTTACTCTCTTGAGGAGGTCACTGTAGATAGGATCCTGCGCATACGCCTCTTTAAACCCTTTCCTGCAGGTCTCTCCCTATGTCCAGATAGTGAACTATTGCTCCAAAGTAGTCAGCTCTCCTACTCAGAGCGTCCGCAACTACATTATATTTCCCCTTGACTGGCTTGAGCTCAAAATCATACTGGTTTATTTCTGCGGCCCACCTAGTAAGCTTAGGTGTCATCTTGGCCTGCGTCTTTAACCATCTTAACGTCTCGTGGTCGGAATAGACTTTGAAGTGCCTCCCAAGCAAGTAGTGCTTCCAGTGTTCTAGCGCTTGCCTGAGAGCGTAGAGTTCCCTCTCATAGGTAGATGTCGCAACCTTCTCTGAAGGCATCCTAGCAGACATGAACTCTACGGGCCTATAACCATTGTCATTGTCTTGTTGCAGAACAACACCTATGCCGTACTGACTGGCGTCCGTAGTGACGACAAAGGGTAAGGACGGATCGGCCACCTTAAGGACTGGATACTCTATCAATGCCTGTTTAAGCTTCTTCATGGCAGACGTGCAGTCCTTGTCCCACTTCTAGATCGCTTCTTTCTTTAGCAATCTGCGAAGGTGTGCAGCGATGGTGGAGAAGTTCCTCACGATCTTCCTATAATAGTTCGCTAGGCCTAAGAATGACCGCAACGCTGTCAATGTACGCGGTGTAGGCCAATCCCTGATCGCTGCAATCTTACTATCCTCTGGCTTGATGCCGTCTCCGTCTAAGACGTGGCCCAAATACAAAACTTCGGTCTTTGCCCATTCGCACTTCTTTGCATTGATCTTGAAGTTAGCTTCTCTTAGCTTCTCCAAGACCTGCCTGAGATGACCCTGATGCTCTTGGAGGGTCTTACTAAACACTAAGATATCATCCAAGTAAACTACAACAAACCTATCTAACCAAGGCCTAAACAAGTTGTTCATGCATCGCTGAAAAGTCGCTGGCGCGTTGGTTAGTCCAAAGGGCATCACGATGAACTCGTAGTGCCCGTACCTAGTCCGGAAAGTTGTCTTGTACTGGTCATCAGGATGAACCTCTATCTCATGATATCCAGACCTCAAATCTATCTTCGAAAAATATTTGCACCCCTGCGCTCGATCCAGAAGATCATCGATCCTAGGCAGTGGCTCAACATTCTTTACTGTGATAGCATTCAAACCCCTATAGTCTATGCACATCCTAAGCTCTCCCTCCTTCTTGGGGACAAACAAAACAGGTGCTCCGAATGGAGACGAACTGGGCCTAATCCAACCCTTCTCTAGGAGCTCGTCTAGTTGATTGCGTAGCTCCTCTAACTCCCGCGGAGACATCCTATAAACTGCTCCCTTGGGGGTCGTACTGCCAGGCTCAATGCGGTGCTGGATAGGCCACGGTACTACTCCTGTCGGCGGCTTCGCTAAGTCTGTGAACTCTTCCAGCAGCTTGACAATAGCAGGGTCTATAGGCTTCTCTTCCTTAGGCTCAGTAAGTGGCCTAACATAGGCTACAAAAACCTGTTCCTCTAGTTGCTCCTTTTTCACTAGCCTTGCGAACGCAGGCGCGCTAAGGCAGCAATGCGCCAGGGAGTTGTCTACTCCCGAGGCATGGAACAGACGGGCAGTCGTGACACCGCCTGATGGACTAGGGAGCCTACACTCGTGCTCTCTCAAGTGGAGTGTGGCCCTTGCTGCCTCTCCCCAGTCCATACCTAGGACTATATCAAACGGGAGGCTATCCTCTACGAGGAGAGTCAGGGAATGGAGAACCTTCTCCATTTTCCCATCCTTTTCTAGGCGGAAATACGCCTGGACTCCCTCTACGTACTCTTCCACTCTCATGGTGCGATTGTCCGCGAGGATACTTACTATGGGGTCTGATAGTCTTTGGACTTTTAATTGCAACTTCAGCTTCTGCAGCGCTGTCGGCGCGAATACCCTTACAAGGGTATCCGCCCTGGTTTTTGCAAAGTGATAGAAAATAAGTTTGAGTCGGAATTTTTGAGTAGACCGCGTGAGTCGCAGCAGTCTATTGGCTGAAAGTTTGACTAGAATGTCTAGGCGCGCGTGATTTTTATCTATTGATGATTGAAGAGCCGGCGTAATCGCCGGTCAAATTTTTACTTATTTTATTTATTTCTGATTTAAAACTAGGATTAAAGAGATTTTTGTCTCTTGATTGGTGCGCGTGCTTACGACCTATGCGTACGAGCGGAAGACGGCATCGACAACAATGTGACTTCTGAAAGTGTTTCAGTAGACCCGCGCTTCGTGCGGTGTCTGTTTAAATTAGGCGTCTGCCAGAGCTAGGCCCAGACTCAGGCCTAGCGCTATTGGTTACAGCAACTGACATTCGTCACAGAGGTTCATGGATCGAGACCAAGCAGCGGTGACGGGGGATCAAAGTGTCGCGGACGGAATGGTGGGGTTGAGAGCCCAGCGGGGCTATTCCCCTTGGTTTTGCCGAAGGCGGCGTTAGAACGGTGCTAACATTCTCTTTTGCCCTCGTCCATCGTCTTCGCACGGTTAAAAGTTTCTAGATATTTTTGTTATTTTTGTGATACTTTTTTTATGATCCGGCGCTCTTTGACTTGGACGTGACGCCGGGTTTAAGTGGCCGCCACGGCGGCCGAGGACCTTGAGCTTGCGCCTCCTTTGACGGTTCGATAGGGCTCCTACATGGTCGGGGCGTTGGCGGAATTCCTATATCCTACTCGCCTTGAAAAGCACGGCGCGGTAGGGCCTAGGCGGCGGGGACCAACTGAGCGGAGGTTTGGGTGTGGGCTGCCCGGTGGATCCCGAAAGATGGTGGGCTATGCCTAAGCAGGGCGCGACTAGAGCCACCGTAGGGAAACCGCAGCGGGGCCGTGGCAGGCTGCGGGTCCTATGGAACCCGCCCCCGCGTCGGTCTTTAAAGTTCTCATTTGAATATTTGCTACTACCACCAAAATCTGCGTCGGGACCTGCTGCACTTGGGGCCATGCTACGGGCTTGCGGCAGGCACGTTTCACCGACACCGCGACCACCGTTCTGATGTCGGTGCCAGCAAGCGCCCGGTGGGGTATACGGGGTGGTAGTGAGCTCTGCCAAAGTGGAGCGAGTAGAAGGAGACTGTGGCGGGCTGGCAGCGGTATTGACTGATCACATTGCCCGTCGGCCTAGGCATAGGGGCGATAGCTTGCCTAGACTGATCAGTAGCTGATTCCCTCCGATGTTTCCTTCGGGACAGCTCGAACGGTCGAACAGGTTGTCGGTCGCCACAAGGCCGACTGCGCTCAGGGGCAGCGCTAACCGAGCAAGCGAGGCGGGTAGGCGCGAGGAGCAAAGGTGGAGCAGTAAAGGGAGTGAGTGGACATGGGCGAGATGGGGCGACGGGTGTGTGCGGAGCAGGAAAGCGCAGGGCTATGGGGGAGGCGCAGGACAGCCGATCGGGTTTGCTACAGAGCCGTCCACCGCCGGGCGTTGCTGGGAAGCGGTATTGGTCGAGAAGTAGTGGGCTCGGAAAGCAGCGGGGGAATGAAGAAAGCAAATGGACCTGGACAAAGATTAGTGCCAGGTGCATTCTGAAGGGGAGAAGATGGTGGGAGGCAAAACGATGATGTCTCACTCATTTCTCAACGAAATGGAGTGAGAGAAAATCGTAGGGAGGGGTTTTAGCATAGGGCGAATGCGATGGCGATGTTAGTCTTAGGAGGAAGTTAGTGATTAGGGAGTTAGTAGAAAAAGTGATGCGCCGGGGCTATGGCGGATGAAGGAGGTGGGGGTAAAAGATTCGTACCTCACTCGATCCTCGATGGATTCGAGCGAGGTAAGATACTAAACAGGGGTTATGAGCCAGGGCGAATCTGACTATGAAGTCACTTGTAGAAGAAGGTTAGTAGGATAATAGTTAGATGAGATAGGGGGTGCGCCGAGCTACGGCGGGAGGGACGATAGCGGGAGTGAAAGTTCTGAATCCTGCTCGATTCTCGATGGATTCGAGCGGGATAAGATGCGAAATTGGGGTTTGGGAATGAGGCGAATCGAAAGGTAGTGTTAGATTTAGAGTTTAGTAGTTAGTTTTTGAGATTGTCAGTAAAGAAGCTGTGCCCGGGAGGAGGCTGGGAAAAACGAGGATGAACCTGCCCTGACTTATGTAGAAGATTCATTTCATTTTTGTTGGCTTTTTTTATCATAGTCGTTAGGGGATGAAAACGGGCAGGGAAAAGGGCGATTTCTGGGTTTTCAGGTAGGGCGAGTTTGATAGTAATACAAGTTTTGGGGCTAGTTGAGTAGGATTAGTGTTAGAAAGAGAAAGGACTGCGTGCGAGCTGGCGGGAGCGAAGAGGAGGCAAGGCGAGAGAAGGGATATCCTGCTCGTTTGTGGGTGGAATCGAAGGAGAGAAGAGAGTAAGTGGGGTTTTCTATAGCTGCGAGTAGGATAGTGAAGTCAGATTCGAGGAAGGAGTTGTGGGTTTTGAGCTAGGAAGAATCGAGTTGCGCCCGAGAGAGAGGGATTAGCGAGGTGCCAATGCACCTAGTCGTATTTTGGCGAAAGGTTCATCCTCATGCTACTAGATACAGCCCGTTAGATCGTTGTTTTTGTCATCGTTCAGGTAAGGCTCAGCGAGATACCGTGCTCCTTCCCGTTGATCACTAGTCGCCCCGGCTACGATATTTCCTCCACAGTTTCCTCCTTCTTGAGGAGCTCGCTCTCAAACTTTGAACGGGCTCGATAAGGTGGCGGTGCACATAGCCTCGTTATGGTGGAAGATTCATTGGAGTTCTGTCTGTTTCAGAGGAGCAATGTAAGGTCAGCCACGAGGTTCGAAGACTCACAGACTCACCTGTCCGTTGTCGGTTTTGCCATCGGATCGACTGAGTTGGGGGACAGAAGAGGACGTGCGTGAAGGGTGCCGAGGGGGAAAATAGTGACGAAAATAAAGGAAAGGTGAATGAATCTACCCATAGTATAGCAGGAGACTCATTCGACGTCGGCAGGATCAGCGTGTCGTCGAGCGAGTGTGAACCCAACCATTGGAGACGGAGACTCGCCCATTGTTCGATGGGTCGCCCCTCGTAATAGAGGAGGTCAGTTGCGCGATTGCAGGGAGCCGATGGTACATCTCCATACAGTCAGCGGGACGGTCCTAGTTAGTCTGAGCCCAGTACAACTAGCGCCAATACGGGACTGTGGGCACCCAGAGCTCGATGGAAGAGGGCGAGCTGTTCTGGGCAACGAGCGCGCTGTCGGCAGTAAGCTAGCTGAGCAGAAGTACAGAATTGCTGCAGTCTGAGCAGGCCGCCCAGTACGCTGTCGTAGGGGCTGGTCTCAGGGGGGGGGCTCCATCCATGCCAGTTGCAAGTTCGCTTAGCTCGGGTCCTCCAGGAGTATGACCCGGTAAGATTGCACCTCCCGCTGCATATTTATTGAGGCGTTGCAGAGGCACATGACTGTTGCGGGCGGTTGCTGAACGCGCAGCGCTGCTGGGGCCGTGTTTCAAAAGCCACTGCGGCTATCCTTGAGTATCGGGTGGCAGTGTCCTACTGTGTGTTACTAGGTGACATAGCAGCGATTGTAGTTAATGGCTATCTGCTGCTAAAGCGGGCCCACAATTACGGCACACTGCAGTATTGTGCCTGGCACGCTATGTAAATCGCAGCGGGCTAGGCATGCGAGTGTTGGTTGACCCGCAACCAGTGCATAATGGGTCAGGAGCCCAATGAGGAGACAAGATTGTGCTCATGAAAAGAAGGGGAGGGGGGGTTACCGCTGCGACTTGAAGCTTCGTCCGAGTGCGGTTTGTTAACGGTTTGGTTTCGGTTTGACTGGCGGTCACGCGTTTGGCCACCTTTGCAGGGCCCTCAGGCGCATCAAGGCAGCAAGGCCCTCTCCTGCGAGTCTGAGAGCACCCCTCTTGGATCTGAGAGACTAAAACCTTTCTATCTTCTGCCCTTCTTAGTCTAAGTCTAGTCTGTTGGTTCTGAGAGGAAGGCGGCAGACTGGATTGTAACCCGTTGGACCGCAACAAGACTCTGTGGGGAGTCAGCCCACCGATTGCGGGAGCTGTGCCGAAACTCAGGAGAAGTTCTGGAGGCAGGGAACTGACAAGTAACCTTTTGCTTTCCCTCTATAAACTCAGTTATAACCCCTATCTCTACTACCAATTGCATCTTTGACTGAGTATATGGTGTGCAGCCCTACTTTGACCTTTGTTTGACTTTCAGGACGCTGAATCAGATTAAGTAAAGGAATGTCTGCTCAATTTCAGTTTCAACTTTGTTGATTGTGTGAAATCAGACTGTTAAAAGAAACTGCATGAGGGAAAGGGCAGGATGCAAAACTGTTTTGCATGAGGGTTGACTGGGTCATTAAGGCTGGGAGGTCCCCATAGGTTTGGGGAGACCCAGTGCTTTGCTTTATTTTGGTTTCCGTGGAGCGTCAGACCCTTCTATAAGCTTAGGGGGTCTGATTGCTCTGGAGGTTGGGAAGTCCCCAAAAGTTTGGGGAGACCCAGTGCAGTGGTTTTGCATGGAGGGTCAGGCTAGTCTATAAGTTTAGGCGGCCTGACTGCTCTGGTTTGTGAGGGCTGATTGTGGTTGACTTTTCAGGGACCAAGTGCATTCTGTAAGTTCAGGTGCCTTGGTCACCTTGTTTATATTGGGTTTTCTCCTGTTTATCTGGTTTTGAATGAGGAGGTCTAAGCCGTTCTATAAGTTTAGGTGGCTTAGCCTCTTCCTGCCTTTATTTTGAGAGAATGAACCGGACAGAGGGCAGATTGTTATGTAAGTTCAAGTGATCTAGCCCAATGYCACGCACATATTGGATCAGAGAGAAATGGATCATGCAGAGAGCCAGACTGTTCTGTAAGTTCAGGTGGCCTGACTCAAAGCCTCGCACATGTTGGAACCCAATGATTATAACTTGGCTATACTTTACTGTTACTTTATTTAAGAATGAGCTAATAAGACTGTTCTATAAGTTTAGGTGGTCTGACTATAGCCTATCACAACTTGAAGAGAGTATAATTAAGAATAAAATTTGTGGTAAACTGGGGCAGACTGAACCTAAGTTGGTTCAGTCATATTCAACCTTAGAAGACAGAAGGGAAGACAAGTATATATAACTTGGATATCTTAAACAGTTCAGGGCGACCAGAATGGTCTAGTCATATACCCAAAGAAGAGAAAAGTAGTTGTGCCCTCTGTTTGTATATACTTCCCGGCTAAGCTAGGCACATTCCATAAGTTTGGGTGGCCTGACTTTATGCCCTATGTAAGCTGGATATAAAGGGTTAAGTTACTGAAAGATTATGAACTATTGTTTGTCCAGATGAACTTGGGATGGTGAGAGTACTTACCTTCGTGGTTTGGCCTGCATGTGGCTGAGTGAGGTTATTACTTGGTTTGAGTTTCAGTTTGATAGGTAGTTGCTTTAGTCGCTCGCCACATGCTAGAGCTATAGGAGTTAGTTTCAAGTCCTGCATTTTCTGAGCTAAGTTTTTTTACTTAGATCAATTCTCGCATTTTCTGGGATCATTTTTTGTACTTGGCTTTGTATAAATATTGGCAAGCTACTTTCTCTACGGGAAGCGCTGCCGAAATTTCCACAAATCCAAGGAGCTAGTCAATTTTTGACTTGTCAAAGTTCAACTTGTCCTTTCTATATATCTGACCTAGTAAAAATTTGGAGAGCCTCCTTTTCTAAAGGGAGTGCTGCCCAAATTTTTACTAATTCAGGGAGTTAGACAAAATTGGACCTTGAGAAGTCAAAGTTATTCTCAAATTCTGAACTTAGCTTTGTATAAATTTTGGGAAAACACTTTTCTAAAGGGAGTGCTGCCGAAATTTCTGCAAAACTAAGAAGTTAGTTAAATCTTGTCTAAGTTGAACGCAAGTTGTCTTTTGAGTTCATATCTGACTTAGTATAAATTTGGGAAGTCTCCCTTTCTAAAGGGAGTGCTGCCCAAATTTCTACCAATTCAGGGAGTAAGACAGAATCGGACTTTCCAGAGTTAAAGATTACTTCTGCTTTATATTTGGACTTATATAATTTCTGGAAAGACACTTTTCCTACGGGAAGCGCTGCCGAAATTTTCTTAGTTTAAAGGAGATAGATTATATTTTGACAGGTGACGATTCTGGTAGTCCACTCTGACTAGGGGAGATTTTGCCATGAGTCTACCTTTCTTTGGGTATTTGCTTAGAGGTAGGCTTAGATATAGTTAACTAGGATGATTTGGGTAAGATCATGATATGGAGATTGTTCTCCATGGACTTATAGGTTTAGCCTGGGGCATTGATCTGTCATGTGTTACAGGTCCTCTTGATCGTCTGATTAAAGTTCAGGACTAGATTCAGCGTGATCCCTTGAGGATCATCTTCTGTTATCACTGATAACAGGTCGGTTGCTGATTCGTCGGTTCGCGATTCAACTCCAATCTACTCTTGCCACTCAACCTAAAGGCTTTAGCCCTGTGGTTTGAACTGTTTCATTGTGTTTTCACCCGGACTTTATTGAATGGTCATTTAACAAAAGTATTGAGTATTTTTTTTGGGGGGTTGCACAAGAGTGGGGTTTGTATGGCTAAAGCAAGGGGTATGAGCATAGAGAATGGCTGAAGTTGACCCCGTGTAGTGCATGGACTTTTGTTTGATCTTTGATGTGATTGCAGATATGTTTGTGGTTCGGACTCTGGATTTGATTGCCTGCGATCACATACAAATATATGGCTGAGAGGAGCCCCACTGTGACTGTGAGAAGTGATCGTCCTATATAAGTAAGCCTTATGTATACATTTATATGTGCCTTGGGTATGCGCGCGACTTACAATGATCGTGCGCAAGGGTTAACCAGATTATGGTTTGAGAGAAAAGGGAGATCCCATTTTATCCTTCTGCTTTTTAGAGAATTTTATAGTCGGACGTTGGTCCTGGGTCAAGATTCAAGGTCCTTGTCCAGGACATCCCAAGCCCTAGACTCTGCAGGGAAGGAATCTGCCCCCGTGCAGAGCCTGTTTGCCTTGCCTACCGAGACGCTCAGACCAAAAGTCGGGGGTCTCGCGGCGGCTGCACAACTATTCCTTCAACCGTGCAATATCGTGAGGGGCTAGACCCTCACGACACTTCGAGTCTGACACTTGAGTGTCATAAGCGGTTCTCGGATCCACGAGGGACCGCTTGATTATGGGCACTACATAGTACGCCATCATTGCGATTGCTTGCGTACGCTTGCATTGCGAATCAGTACGAATTAGCCCTGCATCTGCGCGGTTTTATATCAAGTCTCGCGCGCGACGCCTATCCGATTTCCGCGTCAGAAAGTTATGGGATGGCTACTGAAGGGACTAGGAGCGTTGTCGCGTTGTTTGTGTTGTGTCGTTTCGTATGTGTGTGCGCGTGTGTGTTTTATTTTTGTGTTCGTAAAGTGGTGTGCGCGTGGTGTGTGGGATGTGTCCTAGTCGACCGACGACGGACCGCGTTTGGGACTTCAACCCCCCCAGTTGACGGTTCGTGTGCAGGTTTGATAGAGGCGTATTACCACGCGTTCCCCCTATGCTACAACGAACGAGAAACGCCCTCGGCTGGTCCACCTCTGCGATTGCAACTAATCAGCTTTCGTATTGTGGACTGGTAGCTCGGCGGGTATACGCCCACCGAAGGAAGGTGACAGCTCCCGTAAGGTGGAGGTAAGTCGTGCCTCGCATAGGCCCTATCCTGTCGTAGGAACTCGCGAGAGGTATGGCTGGCGCACTCGGCCGGAGCGGCTTGCGGAAGCTCCATGTGTATCCGCGACGAAGGGTTTAAACCAACTCCTGCGTGATGCGGCCGGGAGGGTCCCGCGCTGCCCCGTGTGGTGCCGGACCGATGCGCTAGACGGCGCCTTCCTACTGATATAACTACGATTGGCTCCACTATCTACTAAGGCACCCGCTCGGCCTCTAAAAATCTTTGTGTCTACTAATATGAGCTGCCCCTTATTCTCTTTCCTCATCCTGGCCCAGGCGGGCATTCTCTACTTCAATTCCTCTGCCACGCCTGTGAGGGAAGTGCCTAGAGAGACTCTAACATATGCAGTCTCTGGGCAGCTATCTAGGCACCGGCCTGCAACTTCTGCCATGGGCTCATGTGGTTTGGGAGATTCGTGCCGGCTTGCTGATTCATCTCCACATGGCCCTATGGTAGAGACAGTTGCTACCCCTACCGGCGGCTGCCTTTTGCCTCTTGTGCAGCCGAACAAGCCTCTCTATACTTCGGACAGTATTTAATGATGTGGCCAGAGTCACCGCAGTAGATGCACTGCCCCTGGTTCACACGCTGTTGCCATAAGCGCTGGTCCAGGCCCAGATCTTCCCAAGGCCTGCCTTATGGCAGCCCTGGGTGCCATCCACTTCGCTTATAAGGGGACCTATTTCCAGATCGGTTTTGTGGGGGACCTTGACCCCTTCCTCCCGCTTGGCGGTTTCCTCCTCTGCCGGCAACCCCCTGATCGCCCTGGGAACGGTTCCCTGAGGCCCCGCCCCCTTGGCCCTGGCCTCGTCCTCCTCCTTGCGGCCTCCCTCCAGCCGCGACAGTTGCGTAAGTTCTCCCTTGACTCGCGCCACTGTCCACGTCCTCCAGCCGCCACTCTATCTGGTCGTAGGGGATCTCGTCGAAACTACCCTCATCTAAAGTAAGGATCAGGCTATCCTTTGTCTTCACCTGCCCTGAGATAGTGCGACCTTTCCACCTCTTTCCCTTATCCAGGTCCTTATGCCAGAAGGTGGAGACTGACATAGACCTTGCCTCGAAGGCCACCACTTCCCTGCTCAATGCGTCGTAGGTTATGGTGGGTTGCTGGCTCTTCTCAAAGAAGTGCCCGCGCAACGACTCGGGCATAGCCCGGTAGAAGAGGTTGACCAGTTGGGTCTCTGTGACCCCATGATCGGGAACAGGCACTAGCTCGCCCATTACTCCCTTGAGTACCTTGGCGCTCCTCCACTGAGAGAGTGGATAGTCTGCAATCGATCAGAGGCTCTGACACTGCGCGAGACATCTGCAAATCGTTCGCGCAGCAACTTAAGAAAGCCAGCGAGGGGAGTGAAGGCAGAGTAGGCAACCACATCGTCGCTGCAATTAGCAGCGCGGACTAAGGAGCGTGCAAAACTGGCCGCTTCTTCCTTTAACGCATGGATTGCAATTAGGACCTGCTCATCGGGGGACACCTTCTGCAGGTGCACGTACGTCTTAACGTTGACCTCCCAGTTGTCAAAGTTCTCTTCCTTCTTTCCGCTGTAGGAATCAGGAAACTTAACTTTGACCGACTCTCTACGGGGACGTGTCTCTTCTTCCTTTGGGCAGTCAACTTGGCGCCCTCAATGGCACCAGCACAGTATCGTCCAGTGCCCTCGAGGTGGGCTGTCACATGCGAGCCCACCTGCATTGCCAACTCCCGAGCAAAGTCTCTAAGTCCCGACCGTATCGAACGCACGACAATGTCCTGACCTCTCCCAAATAAAAGCTGCTCCTCCTGGACCTTTGCCAGGCGTTCCACGTTCTTGGCCAGGATCTCTACCTTTCCCAATAAATCTACTTGGACCGCCATCTGATCCCTCTGCTTCCTAACCTCTTCCAACTCTTTCGCCGCCTCTGTTGCCGCCTCCATTCTTCTCTTTCGCTCCCTAGTGAGGCGGAACTTCCACTTCATCCTCTTCTCATCTTCTAGCACTTGCCACTTGAGTGGGTCTCCTTCTGCTTCCCACTCTCGTATGGCCGCCTCCTGCTCGTCCCTGCGCACATACATTAACGCCTCCTCATCCTCTCCCAGGGTCAGCCCTGCAACCCACTCCGTGATCTTCTTCTCCATCAAGTCTTCTTTGGGTCCACTAGACTCCCCTCTGTTTCCTCTTCTTCCTCTCTCCAGTGGCTCCTCTTCTACTTCTTCTTCTTCCTCCTCTTCCACTTCGTTTAACTTCGCTTCCTCTTCTTTCTTCAGCCTCTCCTTCTCTCTAGCCATCTCCTCCTCGATCTTCTTCAACTTCGCCGCCTGCGCCTCCAGTAAGGCCTTCTTCTTGGCCTCTTTCTTCTCTCTCCTCTCTTTGAGGATGGCGGCGGCCTTTGCTTCGTGCTCGGCCATGTAGGGCGAGGTACTCGTCCCCGTACGTGTGTCTACCCTACACGAAAACGTGTTCCAGAATCCCAATGGGAAAATGAAACACCAAAGGGTCCCCCAGAGGGAGAACCCCACAAGTAGCCCCTACATCGGGTAATCATCCATGGTGATAGGTGCACGACAGAACAGTCCCACTCCTCACCACGTAGACCTACCCGTAAGACTCACTAACAGACTCTCTAAGGACCACAGAGTTCGTATCGAACCCGGTCAACTATGGTCACTAGCCTAGACCTATACTATGGCTGTCACTACTGAACCAGTGGCTGATCTGGAGGCATTTAAGGAGATCCCCCGTAACTCCTCAAGAATTCTTTAACGTCGCAGACAGGACGACGTGATCAGCTTGGTTCTGCCTGTTGCACAGCCCGCAACTCAGCCTTTCGGGCCTACCGTGCCACACCGAGCAGCCCGCCGGTCTGTACCGGTCCTTGGGAGGGTTTGTGTCCTCCGGGACAATCGAGTCGTCAGACACAGTCTTTTTATCCTTACTTGGTCCGGTAGGGGTTTGGGTCAACAAGGCCCTCAACACTTAAGACTGCCTGGTGTGTTAGCCCACAACTCCGCCGCTCAAGCCCACCGTGTCACGCCCAATCTGAGCCCCGCCGGTCAGCACCTGTCCTTGGGAGGGTGAGGCCTCCGGGACAGTGAGATTAGACACGATATTAGCTCTACAAGGTCAGGTAGGGGTTTCGTCATCCAGGCCCTATCCTTCCTCCACAGAGTACTATCACTTAGGACAGAAGAGACTCAATGCAGAAAGAAGAGACAGACAGACTCAGACTCCGCAAGTACCGCAGGGTGAGTGCACATCCATAGGGCGGGGGGATAGGCTAAGGGCTTGGCGAGATGTTACCAACTCCAGCTTGGTCAAAGTCTTGGTCAACAGCTCCGGTCAACGCCTTGGTCAATGCTGAGTCAACGCGGACAACCTCCGGTCAACTCCCCGGTTAACCCTCTGGTCAATGATTAGTCAATCCTCCGGTCAGCTATGGCTGTCGGCTCCTTCTCTCTCACCAACCTTCACTCTCATTCTCCCCTTCGTCACCCTTCACCTTCCTCGTTGTTTCTCCTTTTTTTTTTTTCTTTTTTTTTTCACCCTCGGCTATGTCTGCCTTACACCTCGGTGTCCCCTCCTTCCTCCTTCTCTACCTCATTTCCCTTCGTCCCCTCCGTGTCCGAGCTCCGCGGCTATGGCCGCACTCTTCTTCTCCACTGGACTGCACAACACTTCACAGGTACGTAGTAACCGATCTTGTATTGCTCATCTCTGTCTCTCTCTCTCTCTCTCTCTCTCTCTCTCTCTCTCTCTCTCTCTCTCTCTCTCTC